TTTTGAAATGAAGTCTGGCTAAGTTACTAAATTGCCCAGGCTGGGCTCAGCTCAATTTTGTGATGCTCCTGCCTCACTCTCCCACAGTGCTGGGCTTACACTTGAGCATGTCACGCTGGACCCTTGCAGATTACTTAATATCTGTTTGTTAAGTTTCTCCACTGATAAAGGACTGGCATGATATAGCTCAGCAGACTAAAGCGTCTGCTTAGGCAGAGTGCAGTGGCCACGGTTCGATTCCTGGTCTGCCTTGCTGGACCCACCCCGGGGGTGCGCTGAGCCTGGGACTGAGATGACGCGCACCTGTAATCCCAGCGCTTGGGAGGCTGAAAACAGATTAGTGAGACCCTTTAGACCTTGTACTAAATACATTTTTTAAAAAAAGTTTCTCCACTGATAAAATTACAGTTCATACAGTTAATCTGGTGATTGAACATTTTTTATATTTTGCCCAAGTGTTGTTGGACTTACTTTGTACAATATTAATTATTGAGTTTTTAGTGTTCTCTTAAATTTTGGGCTCCAAATCAATGCCTTATTTGACTCATCCTTATCTCTGCTTTTGGTCATGGAGATAGGTCAGCAGCATAAGTGCCTGTCTGGCAAGTGCAAGGTCCTTAATTCAATCCCTGGTACCCAAAAAAAAAAAAAGATTTTCTAATCCCTGCTCTATCTACATTTTACGCACTCACCACATTAGCAGAGGTGAAGACTTGTTGCATATGTATTATACATTATATGTGATATGTTTTTACAATTTTTATTTATTTTTAATGTTGCTTTGAGTTCTTGGGCTGAAGTAACCCTACTGCTTCGGCCTCTTGAGGGGCTGAGTCTACAGGCACACCCCATCTCCCTGTATTTTTACATTGAAGTAAGATATACTTACTTCAATGTAAAATAAACAAATACAATATTGTGTATTGCTGACATTCCTAGTAGTACTGTAACACTTCTCTTTTCACCTTCAGGCAGCTAAGAAGTCTGTTTCATAACATCCCCTTCTCTTTTTCCTGCAGCTTCCCTAGCCAATCTCATTTTTTTTCCCCCCAGAAAGTGTTGCTAAATTAAAAGGTTAGGTATCTTTGTTGAGTCTTATCAGTTCCAGGAGACTGCCCACACAAAAACAACTTCAAACCGTCCGACTTGAGAAAAAAAAAACCCAACACACATCTTTTTCTAGAGGAAGCGCTATGACGTCGAGCCCCCTCCCTTCCTGCTACCGGAACGCTGTTCAACTATAGCTCGCTTTATCCATCGCCCGCACCACACTCTGCGCACGCGCGTGTGCGAGCCCGACCGCAACGCAGCGATTTCTGGTCCTCTCGGCACCCTTACGTGCGGAGCGGCCGGACGCAGGTTTGCGTGTCGTCGCCGTCTTCCAGGAAGTGGAAAGAGGAGGAGGCAAGGTAATTGCCCTCGTCCGTCCGGAGCCTTACGGGTTTCGGGAACTCTGAGGGCTGGGGGCTCATTGTCGCTCTGGATTGCGTGACTCAGTTTAATCCCCGGTTTTGCGAGGAGAAGCTGGTGTGCGCACGGACGTGTGTTTCTCTAGGGTTAGTGCAGTGTCTTGGATGCCTGCCTGTTCAGGAGGCTGTTTGCCATCTTTTTTTTTTTTTTTCTTTTTCTTATTTTTTTGGGGGGTGGGGTACCGGGATCAAACTCGGGACCTTGTCCTTGCCATGCATCTTTTTTTTTTTTTTTTTTTCCCCTGCCATCATTTTAAAGGAACTTCCCGCTTTCCCCTAGCTGGTTTTTAGAACTCTTTTTGGAGAAGTAGAAGGCTCTGCCACTCGCTGTGCATGTTGTCTTCATACCATTAACTTAAAGTGGGGGCCGGGGAGATAGCTCAGTAGAATAAGCACTTGCCTGGCAAGCGTAAGGGCCTGAGTTCAATCCCGGTTCCATCAAAAAAAAACAAACCAAAACAAGACTAAAAATTAAAATGAAACATACAGAAGGACCCTTAAATCACTTACCAGATTTTCTGTAACTTTAGGAGTGTTATTTTATGCCCCCACTGTGTTACTTGACCCACCTAGCTTTGAGGGTTAAATATCAGTGGCCCTGTTTTATAAGAAAGGAGTCCCGGAATGAGAGATTACATGATGACTTCGCCGAGGCTGCACAGATAACTTTTGGAGCTTTCAGAACTACAAGGTTTTGCTGTAATTCCATGGCCAGATCTTTGTTATATATAGATTTCTGTTCCTAGAACTGGTTTTTGAGTTTTTACTTATTTACTGGTTTTTTATTTACTATTTACTATTTTTTGAGACAAGGTCTCAAAGTGTCTAAGTGTCGCCCCAAAGTCTCATGCAGTCACTGGAGCAGCAGGGATTAGTTTATGATCCATTGCTAGGAATCGGGTGTGGGTACTACACCCTCCCTGGGGCAGATAGCCTGAATACAATATAAGGAAAGTTTTTGCTCCTCTCTTTTGGCTTTTGCTGTTTTACTGTGAATTGCTACCCTCTGCCATGTGCCACTTTGCCTTGGAGCCAGTGATTGTTGACTGAAACCTCCATTGTGAGCTAAATAAACTGTTCCTTCCTTAATTTTGGGTGTTGGGTATTTTATCCCAGCAACAAGAAAAAAGTAACTGAGACAATTACTCTTGCTATGTATTTGGGCTGGAACTGGGGTGATCCTCCTGTCTCGGCCTCTCCTGTGCTGGGATTACAGGTATGCCACCACACCCTAAGAACCGACCATGTTTAAGCAGATACTGTACTCAGTTTTCTATGACTGAGTTGACTTCAAGGCCAGTGCCACGGCAAATCTCGTGTCTCTCCATCACTCTGACTTATCAGTAAGCGTTGACTTTTACAGGTGTATCCTGTGCCTTGCCTGATTGGGAGCTCTGAGTCCAGTTCTGTTGTCTTCAGCTTAATCAGACAAACACAATGGAGGCTCCTCCAGTCACCATGATGCCCGTCACTGGGGGCACCATTAACATGATGGAGTACCTACTGCAGGGTAAGTGAACCAGAGGGCTTGGATTACTTGGTTTTTACTTTTCTGTTAAGCTTCCCTGGAGATCAGGGACTTACATGAAGGCAACCTGCAGTTTCTGGCACCCACCAAAAAATTATTTTAATTGGTACTTTTATTTATTTATTTATTTGGTACTGGACATTGAACTCAGGGCCTTGCAGATGCCAGGCAGGAGCTTGTGCCATTGAGCTGCATCCCTGGCCATTTAATTGGTACTTTTAAAGTTATGATTTCAATTTGCCATCATAAACATTTAACATTATTGTACATCAGATCTCTAGCACTTTTTCATTTTGCAAAAATGAAATTCTATACCCATTAAATTTTTGTGTGTGTACCAGGAATCTAACTTAGAACCTTGTAGTTGCTAGGCAAGTGCTGTGCAGCTGAGCTGTATACCCAGTTCTAGTATATATTAATACTCCTTCCTATTCCCATTGCTCAGCAGTTACCTTTCTACTTCGTTTTCCATTTTGACTATTTAAGTAGCTGATATGAGTGGAATAGCATAGTATTTGTCCTTTCCTATTTTATTTTACTTAGCACAATAACTTTGAACCGAGGTCCCCTGCCCCTGGCTGAGTTTGCCCAAGGTGGCGCTTTAGACAACTGAGCTGCTCCGCCGGCCCCCCAGCATAACAGCTTTGAGTTCATCCATATTACAGCATGTGACATCTCTTAAAAAGCTGCATAGCATTACACATACCTGTATATTACATATATGTGCCTCTCATTTTCTATATCCAATATCTGCTGGTAGATATTTGAGTTGCTTCTGCCTTCTGGCTATTGTGAATAGTGCTACAGTAAACATGAATGTGCAGATACCTCTTTGAGATTGTATTTTAAATATTTTCTCAGAAGTGGGACATACTAGATTATAACTTTTTTTTTAGTTTTTGAAAACATGGCCTTGCCTTGTAGCCCTCGCTGACCTCTCATGTGCTAGGCTGGCTTCAGAAGCACAATCCTTTGGGCTCAGTGTTGAAAGTGCCCGGATTATAGGCCTGTGCTGCCACATCCAGCTAATTCTGTTATTTATTTATTTATTTATTTATTTATTTATTTATTTTGCCATGCTGGGAATCAGACCCAGGGCCTCATGCATGTAAGGCAAGTGCTATACCCCTCAGTTGTCCCTATAGGGGATAGGCCCAACTGGACAGGGTGTCATTATGTGATTCCAAGCTGGCCTCATGCCCTTGGGCTGAAGTTATCATCCGTCTTCAGTTTCCCAAGAAGCTAGAATTACAGGCATATATGTCTGGGCTTTTATTTCTCGTTTTGGACATGCTTCAGTGTTGTTTTCCTTAAGAGCTACATGCTTACTTCATCTCTCTCTCTCTGTCTCTCTCTCTCTATCTCTCTGTCTCTGTTTTGTTTTATTTATTTTTATTTTTATTTTTTTTGTTTCTGTTTTTGTTTTAAAGACAGGATCTCACTATGTAGTGCTAGTTAACCTTGAACTTGCTTATGAAGCTGAGGCTGACCTCAAATTTATGAAAATCCTCCTGCCTCAGCCTCCTGAATTCTAGGATTGCAGGCACATGCCACCTCTCCTGGCTGCATGTTTCAACAACATGAGTTCTAGCTTCTCCACATCTTTACTAATGTTTGTAGATTTCTTTGTTCTGTTTATTTTTTCAGTGTTTTTTTATTTTTATTTTTATTTTTTGGTGCAGGGTGTCACTACACAGCTCAAATTCATAGTGATCCTCGTTTTCAGCCTCTCTAGTGCTGGGATTACAGGTGTGCACCACCACGCTGGACTCCATCGAGGGCTTAGTGCGCCTGGGGGCAGGCTGGCACAGCATGCAGTGATTTCTTTGTTTTGATAGCCATCCTAATATAGGAGAGATGTTATTATGGTTTTGATTTATATTTCTTTAGTTATTAGTAAAATAACATTCATATGCTTGTTGGCCATTTGTATATCTCCTTTGAAAAATTGTCTATTCATTTCTTTGCACACTTTTACATTGGCTTATTTGTAGGGGGTTTTTTGTTTGTTTGTTTGTTTGTTTGTCTTGTTTTTGTTTTAGTTGGGCTTTAGGAGTTACTTATATATATCCTGGATAGTAACCTGTGATTTCCCCCCCCCCGGAACTGGGGATTGAACTCAGACCCTTGCGCTTGCCAGGCAAGTGCTTATTCTACTGAGCCATCTCCCCGGCCTGGTAACTTATGATTTAAAAACATTTTTCTATTCTGTGGATTCCCTTTTCACTCTCTTGATTATTTCCTTTGAAACAGAAGTGTTTGAATTTGAGGGAGTCTCATTTGACTATTTTTTTCAGAGCAGCAGTTTTTAATCTTTTTTTTTTTTGTGGTACTTGGGACCTTGCGCATGCCAGGCAGGCGCTTATGCTGCTGAGCTGTCTCCTTGGCCCGCAGTTTTTAATCTTAATGAAGTGCAACTTACTAATTTTTTCATGGCTCAGGCCTTTGAGTAACATAGTCATTGCCAATGCTAAGATCATCTACAGTTGCCATTTGTCCCCTTTTATAGTTTGGGTTTGCGTTTAGTTCATGGCCTGTAAGTTTTGTGACAAGGGTATATCCCAAACCTTTTCAAAGGTGTTAGTGTTGCTGTTCCTTTCCTATGAGGCCTTATCCTAATCATCATCCTCCAGTTGGACGATCTACTCTTCTGGGTTTTTTCCACTGCAAAGGTCTTTTATCTATTCATGATGTCACACCATAGCATCATGTACAGTGTACTCTTTTATTTGAAGTTCCTTTTAGTCAGCATAATTATTCCAGTATGTATTCATATTGCTATGCATATCAGTAGTTGTTGCTCAATAGTATCGTACTGTAAAAACATGTAGGGTGTTTATCTGTTCTACTATGGTTGGGCACCTGGCCAGTGTCTAGTTTGGGGTTGCTGTGAAAAATTGCTGCTGTGAGCTATTTGTTTGTTTGGGTTTTTGTTTTGTTTTGTTTTGTTGTAAATAACCAAGAGTGGAACTGCTGAGTCATACAACTATTTTTTTAGTTAAATGTTGTGATTTCTGAGACAGAACTCAGATAATTTAAAAAATAACGATAATAATAGCTAATGATTTCCAGCTTTGGCTCTGTGTCAGATACTTTATATGTATTATCCACTTATTAATTTATTTTTGCTTTTGTGAGATAGGCACACTATGTAGTTCAGGCTGACTTCAAACTTACAGCTACCCTCCTGCCTCAGCCCTTTTGAGTTCTGAGGTTATGGGTGTGCCACCATGCCTGTTCTCATTACAGCTTGTAAGATGACACTTTCATTAGCATTCTAGATCAAGAAGGAGATGAAGTCACTTGCCCAGATGCGAAAACTTGAGGCCCAGGAGATCATAACAGTATGTTTAGTGAACGACTTTAGACTTTGTGACTTATAGAATGTATTCATTAAAATATGAATAACTACTTAGCATAGTTATTTGTGTCCGTGTGATACTAGGGATTAAACCCAGATCTTTTGTACTGAGCCATAGCCCATTTTTAATTTTAAGACAGGGTCTAGGGGCCAGGGAGATGGCTCAGTAGAATAAGCCCTTCCCTGGCAAGTGCAAGGGCCTGAGTTCAATTCCCAGTTCTGCAAAAAAAAAAAAAAGAAAGAAAAAGAAAAAGATAGGGTCTTGCTGAATTGCCAGACTCAGTTCAAATTTTGGATCCTCCTGCCTCAGCCTACCAGGGTACTGGGATTCCAGGTGTGGACCACCACTGAACAGCTACTTTTATTTCCTTGAATTTGCTGCACCCTTTCCTACCTCCTCAGTGTTTCCACACTTGACGAGCCCTCTGACCCAGTGCATCTCCTCGCTATCCCAGTAGTCCTCTCATTTTTACCCTGCATTTCTCCACCTAGCTGTCTTCCTCGTAGGCCTTCTCTGACTATTCCAACCTCTCATAGTGGTCCACCCTCCCTTCCCACCAGTTCTCTCATGTCCCCCTTTTATTTCTTGTGTTTCTACTTACTATATTTTGTTTCCTCCATTCAACTGTACTCTCCATAAGAACAGCGCCTCCTACTGCTCAGTGTCTGGCACTGCAGTCACTGTGTATGTGTTGCGAGAACCAACACTTACAAAGCACCTAAAATGAGCAGTGGGTGTGTGTACTGCGCCCTGAATGTAGGATACCATGGTGAGCTGCTCTCTGCTCCTGAGATCTGGTATCCCATGATTATGAGGCCCTGCTCCACTACTTTTCTTCCAGCTCATCTTGTTTTCATTTAAGTCTCACTGTCTGTTTCTGCCATAAAGTGACATTTGAGCAAACTTGGAGAAAGTGGTCAAGCACGCAAATGTACAGAGGAAGAACATCCTAAGTATAAGGGAAATGGGAAGGTTCACTCACAAGGAATATGTTGGTGTGTTCAGGCCACAGCAGCAAAGCACTTTGCCTGGAGAGAGTGACCAAGGGGAGAGTTGAAGGTGATGCTGGATGCTAAGGGGCCCCAGTAGACAATCAGAAAGACCATTTTTTCACAGTGACACCACTAGGGGAGTGTCATTTATATTTTCTCTGTTTGTTTTGGGGTACTGGAGATTGAATCCAGGTCCTCATGCTAGGCAAGCACTGTATCACTGAGATACAACCCCAGGCCCATGGCTTTGCTTTTTTTTTGGGGGGGGGTGGGAATTACTGGGGATTGAACCCTGAGCCCCATGTGTGCTAGGGATGCACTCTACCACAGAACTGTATCCCCAGCCCCATGCCTTACATCTTAAGCCACCTGGCTGTTTTGGAAAAGAAAAAAGACAGGTGTGGAAACAGAATATGCAGAGACCAGGACATGAAAGCAGCTTGGACTGTTTGCTGATCAGGGGAGATGGTTAAATTTGCTTTCATTTCAAAAGTATGGATTGAATGTATAGGATATGGGAGAAAGAAGGGACAAAATGATAATTCCATGATTTTTTTTTGCCTGGGCAACTGAAAGCAGAGAGTTGCCATTTACTCTGATGGGAAAATGTATAGGAGAAATAAGATTTGGGGAGGGAAAAATCAACAATAGTAAAGATATTAAGATGATATATGAGCTAGATATGCTAATACACACCTGTAATCCCAGCACTTTGGGAGGCTGAGACAGGAGTTTACAGATTCAAGCCTTGCTCTGTAACTCAGCAACTTAGCAAGACCTTGTCTCAGAATAAAAGAATAAGGGCTGGGGAGTTAGCTCAATAGAATAAGTGCTTGCCTGGCAAGTGAAAGGGCCTGAGATCAATCCCTGGTTCTGAAAAAAAAAAGAAAAAAGAAAAAGAAAAGAAAAGAATGGGCTAGTGATAAGGATGTTTGTTAGGCATCTAAGTGGGAAGGTTGAATAATAAGTTGGATGTGTGCGTCTGTAATTCATAAAATATAAATGGGGGCGCTGGTGAGATGGCTCAGTGGTCTAAAGCACCTACTTAGAACAAGCTTAGCAAAACACAGAGACCGAGGTTCAATCCCCCAGCACCACATGCCAGCCAGCCCCGCCCCCTGGTGGGCTGAGCTGCCCCACACACACAAATAAAAAAATTTAAAAATATGTATATATAAATTTGGGAGTCTTGGGGCATATAAAACAGTATTTAAAGCCATGGGATTATGACACTATTGAGAGAAGAAGAGGCTTAGTAGAAAAGAGCACCCAGAGTCAATCCTAGGATCCTCTATCACTTAGGGGAGATGAAGAAGACTGCGTGGTCCTTGAGTTCAGTGAAGACCTGAGAGGCTTGTGTGCCAGAGGCCCAACGGAGAGTAGATTTCAAAGGGGATATTATTTCCTGTAGCAGCTGTGTGAGATCCAGCCATGAGAATGAGTAAAATGAAGACTAAAATTGATTTCTTTTTTTTTTTTTTTGTTAATGTATGTGGCATACGGTCTCACTGTGCATCTTGGACTCGTAGTGATCCTCCTGTTTTCAGTGCTGGGATTACAAGTGTGTGCCATCACACCTGGTTTTAGTGGCCAGCTCAGGGCTAGTCCCATGAGCCCAAATGACAGGGCATGCGGTACCAGGGATTGAACCTAGGTCTTTGCACTTGCCAGGTAGGTGCTTAGACTGCTGAGCTATCTATCTCCTCAGCCTATTTATTTATTTTTTGAGATAGGGTCTCACTGTAGTCAGGCTGGCCTTGAACTCACAGTGATCCTCCTGCCTCCTATGATTATAGGTGTGCACTACCAAGCCTGGCTCTTTTTTTGATGAATGGAAGTTTTATTTGGTGGAATTTTATTATTATTATTATTTTTTTTTTTTTTTGCAAAACCGGGGACTGAACTCAGGCCCTTGTGCTTGCCAGGCAGGCATCTTGCCACTGGGCTATCTTCCCAGCTCAAAAGAAGATAATTGTGGCTGGGAGTGTAGCTAAGTGATAGAGCATGTGCTTAGCTTGGGTGAGGCTTTGGGTTCAGTCTCCAGCACCAGGCAGACACACGGAAACAGAGAAGAGAGGAGCCAGGGATGTAGTTCAATGTAAAGGCTCTAGGCCTAGTCTCCCATACTGCGAAGGAGAGAGAAGAAAAGAAGGAAAAATAAATGATAATTGTTAAAATAAATGATAACAGGGGCTGGTGAGATGGCTCAGTGGTCTAAAGCACCTACTTAGAACAAGCTTAGCAAAGCACAGGGACCGCGGTTCAATCCCCCAGCACCACATGCCAGCCAGCCCCGCCCCCTGGTGGGCTGAGCTGGCCACACACACACACATACACACACATAAATAAATTAAAAAAAAATAAAACAAATGATAACAGTACAAAACAGTACTGTTACTATTATATTTCTGATAGCTACTTCTGACTGAGACCTAGCGATTAACCTTACTAGAGAAATGTTAAAGCCTCTAGTGCCAGGTAAGAAAATATAAAAAATTGAAAGTAACTTATAATATTATACAATAGCTCAGCAGTGTAGCTTCTCTAAAATCTCATGTGTTGGTCTTCTGTTTGACAAAATACTGCCCTGAACTGCTTTGGGTTTTTAATCTTGCTAGTTCCATGAGCCCAAATGACAGGTGGGACTCAGCAGTGCTTCTCTCTCCCCAGGGAGTGTCTTGGATCACAGTTTGGAAAGCCTCATCCACCGGCTTCGTGGTCTGTGTGACAACATGGAACCTGAGACTTTCCTTGACCACGAGATAGTGTTCCTCCTTAAGGGCCAGCAGGCCAGCCCATTTGTCCTCAGGGCCCGGCGCTCTATGGACAGGACGGGAGCACCCTGGCATCTGCGCTACCTGGGACAGCCAGAAATGGGAGACAAGAACCGCCATGCACTGGTGCGAAACTGTGTGGACATTGCCACGTCTGAGAACCTCACTGACTTCTTGATGGAAATGGGCTTCCGCATGGACCATGAGTTTGTCACCAAGGGACACCTGTTCCGTAAGGGCATCATGAAGATCACGGTGTACAAGATTTTCCGTATCCTTGTGCCAGGAAACACAGACAGCACTGAGGCCTTGTCACTCTCCTATCTGGTGGAATTAAGTGTTGTTGCCCCAGCCGGGCAGGACATGGTCTCTGATGATATGAGGAACTTTGCTGAGCAGTTGAAACCTCTGGTTCACCTAGAGAAAATAGACCCCAAAAGGCTCATGTGACATCTGGGTCTGTCCATCTGTCCTCACCTATTAGAAAAAAGATGATGTTGGTGTCCCATTTCATCGCTGCCAGGCAGGCATTATGCCTTCAGGAAGAAGGGTGGTGAGTTTGTAGTTGGTTCTGTGCAGGGTTTTCATCATGTGGTAGTTTCACTTTTGTGGTGGCCTTTTTTTTGTTCTTGTTGTTTGTTTTTTGTTTTTATATTGAGCGCCTGTGGCATGCTCTTTTTTTTTTTTGTGGTGGCCTTTGTGTGTGCGTGTGTGTGTGTGCGCGCGTGTGTGCGGATGTGCCCTACTGGAGACGAAAGGCATGGCCTTCATACTGAGCTACACACTCAGTAGTGTTTTGTTTTTGAGAGAGGATCTCTCTCTGTATAGTTCAGGCTGACCTTGAACTCACTATGTAATTCACGCTGATCGGTAACTAGGTGATCTTCCTGCCTCAGCCTCTTGAGTGTTGGAATTACAGGTGTGTGTCACCATGCCTGGTACCCACTCTTTTAAAAATTTTTTATTTAAAAAAATAAAAAATTTTGCTTAGTCAGTAAATTGCCTAGGCTGGAACTGAACTTGGGATTCTGGTGCCTCACCATTCCTGATAGCTGAAAGTACAGGTGTGTACTGCCATTCTGGCTCAAAGGCCTGGCAACCTTTTAAAGTATCAGAATAACAAGAAAAATCAAGCCAGTCCTTCTGTGTAAGGATGAAAAACTGGAATAAAGTAAGTTTAAAAAAATTTTTGTGTGTGTTAGAATAAATAACTTTTGGAAAGAAGTCTTGTTTCACTATTTGTGTGTAAGGCAGTGATGGTGACTGTATTAGAGCTTTGAATACCAGAAATAACCTACTGCAGTGTGTGTGCCTTAGGTTTAAACCTACTGGTATAAGGTGTATAGGATTGTGTTAGATAGTAATAAAGTCTGGAAAAGAAGTGTCTGTAATTCTGATTCTTACTCTTAACTCTACAAATTTAGGGTAGATTCAGTACCAATTGTAGCAAAAAAAAAAAAAAGAGTTCTTGCTTCTGTTCTTTTTTAGGTAGAGTCTCACTTTGTAGCTCAGGCTGATCTCAAGCTCACTGTGTAACTCAGGCTAGCCTGAAACGCATGGTGATCCTCCTCCCTCAGCCTCCCAAGTGCTGGGATTATAGGCTGCACATGCCTGGCTTCCCTTGTTTATTTTATTTGTTTTTTAATAGAAAAAGTATAACACCATTTTGTAAACAATCACACTGTACATTTTTTATTAAACAGTAAAATTTTTTCCTGTGGATTTGTAATAAACTATGTAAAAATCAGTGAGTTAACACAATAGAGAAGATGAACAGGGTGAAGAAGTTTTGAAAGTGTCAAATTATAGCACTTGATGCAAAGATAACAGTACCATAAACATTTACATGCTATAATACATTATAATTTAAATAGTAGAACATTTACAAAAAAACATTTTTTTAAGGGCCGGGGAGATGACTCAGTGGAATAAGTGCTTCCCTGGCAAGTGCAAGGGCCTGAGTTCAATCCCCGGTTCCACCAAAAAAAAAAAAAGAGAGAAAAAATTTTTTATTATAAACCCATCAATTACTTAGAAGAATAAAAATTGGAAAATGTTGCACCTGAGGTAAAAATTTAAAAGTAAATAAAATGATCATTTATAAGAATCAAAAAGTTGGGGCCAACAAGATAGCTCAGCCGTCTAAAGTGCCTGCTTAGGCAAGCTTAGGCGGGCTCGGGGGACCACAGTTTGATCCCCAGCACCATATGCTGTGCCAGCCCTGCCCCCC